ATTTGTAGTTTTCATTTTGTTGACGCTGAGTTTATAAATGAAATTCCAGGGATTGCCACCAGCCCTGGAGCAGAAGGCACTCCATGACTCAAGTTTTGATTGCTTAATCCTTTACTTGTATACTTTTTGGTGTTGGAGGTAACGACGATGGAACTCCTCTCTTCGATGACCATGGCAGCGCTGAAAGTCTCTCCGCAACCGATTGTTCGTTCTGCGCATGGTCGCCAGTTCGTTACTCCACCAAGGGTTAGCCCTTCTTCCACTTTTCCTCCTGGGGATAGACTTGTTGCATGTGTCTAATATGCTTTGAATAGTGTTTTCAAGATTCTCCTCTGTCTGAACTTGATATTAATCATGGTTTGGGAGTAGGCGGCATCCATGCAATAGATCCCTGAACCGACTCCAGTCAGCAGATCTTGTGTTGAAAGGGCGAGAGAGGATTAGATCTTGTTCTGAACAAGAGTCGGTGTAATAAAGATCAAAAGTCACATACTCGTGATCAGAGAGGCTGTCCACACTGCCCACCTCCCAGTTTTTTAGGAAGGAATGTAGACCCTCGGAACAGAGTGTTAGGTCGATTCAAGAGACCCCATTTATGCTGTTGAAAGTATGCTATGAGTCCGGATCATTCAATAACAACAGATCATGATCAGCCACAAACGCCTCAATGGCCTCCACACGCCTGTTTCTATGCTCCCCACCCCACGTGGGGGAGTGAGCATTAAAATCACCAACTATTAAACATTGCGCATGCCTAAAATGTCCCGTTGCCTCAGAGAGAGGTTGAAGCACATCAGAAATGCTAGAATCACTAGAGGAGTAAATATTGAAAATGATAACCCGTAGTTTAGGAAGAGTGATCTCTAAACAAATCATATTGCAGGAGAATTATCTGGGATGTGGTACGATGGCTAAGTGTGGGGGTCACCACAATGTCCGCTGCCCACGGCTGCCCGTTGTTATGCTGAATAATATTGTCTCTAATTTGAAAGCAGGCCACCCTGTTGTTTACACAATAAGGTTGTTGTATTAGGCCTACGTCAAAGTTTTTCATCTCCTGACAGATCTGTGTGTTGGCAGCTATGGCTCTTCTCAAATTTATTTGAACGAAGCGTATTTTGGAAATCTGACGACTAGTATCAAGAAGGTTATTCGAGTCCATATTCAAGAATCCAAAAATTGCCTGTGACTTCATCCTTTTTAAAATGGGACATTCTTTATTTAGCACATTATGTCTGTGGTTATCTTGCCTTTCTCTAAGACAATTCACACAGCTTGGAGACTCGGCTTTCTTTTCACATTCCTTGAACGAGTGGTTGCCGCAACATTGGCTGCAAAACTTACAATCCGATATACAATCTTTTGCAAAATGCCCAAATCTTAAACACTTGAAACACTGGTTCAGTGGGACGAAGTCCGCTACACTGCAACGTGACCACTGAAGGTTAATACGCCCTTGTTTGACGAGGAGAGACCTCACATCGGGGGATACCTCGATAACCCATGTGACATGCAAGGCGCTATGTTGCCCAATGGGAAAACGCACCCTGGCCTTCCCCTGAAACTCTTCCAAAGTGAAAGCCTCCGCAATCATACCATTCTGCTGAAAAACCACATTCAGCAAATGTTCCCTTGCAACTTGTTTTGGAACGGAGCTAATTTTCAGTAACGGAAGACGCTTTTTAGGGATGTATGTATGTAGGCCAGAGACCTTTGAGACTGCGTTCTGGAATACCACCATGTCTCCTCTGCAGCTGAGGTCAACTGCGACCCCACCCTTATGGATTTTCCTTACCCGCTGCACTCCAATCTTGGGGTATGGGGGTTGATGTTATTAGTAAGTAGATTGTGCGTAGCCTCCGAGTCATTAACTCCTGAGTTTCCGTATACCAGAACTGTGTAGCATGGCTTGGGTGGAGGTGAACCCTCCTTAAAACGTCCAACTGAATGCCTTACATCATCACTTTAGCTAAAAGAATGCCCCTGACTGTATGTGTGCCCAACAACTGAGAGGGCCTGCCCTGAACCACGTACCGACTCAACAAACTTGTTGATAGTTTCCTCTGTCTTAGAGGACTGAGAGGCAAAGGCCTCATCAATTTCCTTCCTTGTAGGTAAGGAATCGATCTTTTTATAGAGCTCTTCAGACAAACTATAGAAGCAGCTCGAGCAGGCGAGTTCAATAATTTTTTGAAATTGAACGATTATGTAACTAGAATGCACATTGGTACCCAGCCTCCCACTGCTGTTGGAGGCTAAGTAGTCTTTAAGACCATTCAGAACGGTAAAGGCCTTATTAATGAAACCCGGGGGCTACTAGCTGCCATGATAGGATGAAAGCAAGAACTAAAGAGAACCACTTAGAAGCCACAACAGCCTAATCCTAAAAACGTAGACCCAGCCCAGTTGTTAACTTAACTAAGCCAGAAAAACTAAAACAAAACATCTAAAACTAAAGGAAGTAAAAAGTAGGCCTACAATCAGACGAACTTTTTAAAGAGAGAAAAAAACAGGTGCAACAATTAAAGTTTCACTGGGAAAAACCGTTAGCAAAACGTTGAAGAGGAATCATTAAAAACCGTTAATATCCGTTGGCGATCGTTAAAAAAACCGTTACAATGGTTAAAATTAAAAGTTTGAAAATTCTCCATTATATCTAATATCTAATAGGATGAACTAAAAGCGGCTGTACCGCACATAACTAAACCATTTCCATACCTTAACAGAACTAATACTCCTCCAATCCGTGCATAAAACCTCCGAGAGATTAAATTCTCACCCACTAAGCCCACTGACTAATAAAGTTTAAAATAGCGCTAACTTCCCCCAATTAACGGATTTGAGAGAGTGACATACCAAACAGTTTAGAGTGACTAGTAAATATGACTATACTCCTGGGCACAAGGCAATCCAATCTTATCCGTTTCAAAAAAACACCAAAAACGCAGAGCACAGTGAATCACGTCTTATCCACCCAGCTGCCATCCTTCAGTTCTCTGCGACAGACAACAGACAGACAGACAGACAGACAAAATAAACTTTATTATGCCCGACACCGCTAGGCACAGTCGGGATGAATATATACAGTGTGTACATAGAGGTGACATGCCGAGCAGTAAAACCGACAGTGAGCGTAAAAGAAAAGAAATCAAAATACACGTAGATATAAAATCCTAATGTCAGGAGTCATGCGGTAAATAAAAGTGAGGAAAAACGTTTATCAATGTATTAATGTTCTCTGCGACAAAAAGATGTCCGTGTATTGTACCTAAAAATTGAAAATCTACCGGACTGTGGTATGACCAGTCTCTCATTATGGTTCCAAATGTTGGCCATCTACGAGAGCATCCGAACGACGTCTCCATTCCATAGAGATCGTTAATCATGTATAGTTAATCGGGGCCTTTTCTCCCTCCTTTTTCCAGATCTGGTCTCGGCTTGCTGATATCTCATAACGTTCTTACGATTAAGGACGGCCAGGCAGATAGACAGAGGTACAGACACCAATGAAAATGTATAGGTCTGTTTTTGAAAATTGCAGGTTAACAATAAATGTAAATCGTATAATATAATCGAGATGAGTTCATAATAATAATAATAATAATAATAATAATAATAATTACTGGTAATGCAGAGCCAAACCGTTAAGATTGAAGTACACTCACTCAGCACTATGTAAATAAAAAAAAAACAAAAAAAAAATTCTACAATACTATCGCAATTGGCGCAAATTGAGGGCTCAATTGTCAAATGGGACGAAGCAAGTATTATTAATTAAACCATTACATTCACCGGCACTTGCACCGAAAAAATTGAAATATATAAGAGCCGATTGCATGATGCATGCATTAATTCTAGATATTCGGAAGGGTTGCCTTCGGCCTGGAAATACTTAATCAAACGAGTAGAGAGCTCTTAATTTAATGCCTGGATTTTAGTAATTTTTTGCATATCTTGCATTTCATAGAATTTCATATAATGTATTGTTATATAACGTTTTAATATTTAATTAACCTGTGCTCGTTTTTATATACATATTTTGTTGTTTACAATAATAATTTTTATTTTATTTTATTTTTATTTATACATTTATATATATATTTCGTTCGTTATTTAATTTTATTTGTATTTAAATTTTTGTTCTATTTTGTTTATATTCGAATGTCTTAGCCTGATGATGGCCAACAGATTTTGATGAAAACGTTTGGTTTTCATTACATTTTTCTCAGCAAATTAAGGTGTTGTGTTTTTTCTTCAAACCGTTAAGAATTGAAATTTGAAATTTAGTACACAGTTAGGGTCTGCCATGAGAATGCACTGTAACTAGAGATTTTTGGAAATTCCCCTGTGGGGAGAGAAAGAGAGTTAAGGATTACCCTGAAGAGCTCCGCTATTCTTGTACTATTTTAGATGCGGTTTTTCTGCCTTCTACGAGAAATCGAACATATTTTTATACCCATCTAAAAATTTTCTAATTAGTCTTGGAAAAGGGGGAACCAAATTCTTGCACCCAGTGAAAATGGGAAAGATCGACTATATAACTATAAAGGTTATGTTTCGTAAGGGTTTATCACACCGACTGACCAATCTAACACATTTTAAAATTTTTTATTCCTCTACTGTACACAATTTAAGTAATTTTTAAAATGTGTTAGATTGATCAGTCGGTGTGATAAATTTATACACAAAACAACCTTTGTAAATATAAGTAAAAAATTATGATATAATATAGTTGAAGGGTTAGAAAAACGAAATAATCTAACTTAATTTATGCTGTTGTTACTTTTTTTCAGTAACTCCAGGCTTATCTACTAATTCAATATTAATTAGTGTGGTTTAAATCTCATTCAAATAAAGTTTTTGTTACACTAGGACAAACTTCTGCGAGGAAAAACTTTTAGGACAAGTTTTATTATTAAAAAATTCTTCTTTAAATTTCGAGTACTTGCCAATGTGATTATAAAAAAACAATAACAAATCATTTATTTCTTTCAGTTGGCTTTTTCCAATAATAATTAAAGGAAAAAAGCGACTTTTAAAAGAAGTTGATTTATACGAAACTTCCAAATATCATACTTCAGAGTACCTTGGAAATAAGCTTCAGAAGTAAGTTTAACAATTTCTTATAATCATTCAGATTATATTGAATACTTTTTTAAACTGAAGGAAATCTATAACGTAAAAATGTTTGTTAAATGACAAGTACTCTTGTCACGTGTAATAAAACTGTGATTACAGATAACGTAAGTATTGTGGAATTGGCCTGTGACCTAGGTAATTATTATGAAATGAGTTTGCTGAAATATTAAGCAGTTAGGGTTATCCGTTAAACAGTTTTGTTACATTATATAAATACAGTGTCTTTATAATTAAAGTTCCACTTTGAAATGGCCATAAAAGGAAAACTAATGAACAAAATATTATCAAACTTTGTAATACACTGATATGCAAAACTTAAAGATAATGTGCATCTAAGGGAAATACGTACAAAATGACATATGGTTTTATTTTAGGTTCATAACTCTTTATTGGTAAATCATAGCACTGTCATATTCTACACCAATCATCTTTGGTTGTTTACCTATGAAATATAATAAACATTTATAAAATAAAAATAATAGAAAAAAAATATTGTTAGTTTAATTGAGATCAGCCAAAATTTATTTTTTCCATACGCTATGGACAAAATGACACATTATGTAAGGACAAAATGACACATTTCGTAAGGACACAATGACATACACGTAAAAACTATAAAATTACTGACAAAGTTTACAAATGAAACGCTTTGTTCTTTTAGAAACATCAGCGCACGAAGCGTGAGCCCAACGCAAACAATTTATGCACTGTAACCAGTCTTCTCCAGGCTTTGATCGGGAAAAAAGATCATTGCAATATATGTATGGACTGTCCTCTTCATCATCTTGAGAGTTATCAGGAAAATTTTCTTCTTCACTGTCTTCTTCAAGTAACTTTTAAGTAACTTTTCGTCTCCTTTTCTTTGGCGGAGCTTTGGGCTCATTTTTTTATTTAATTGCCTCCATATTAGGAATAGAAGTTAAAACTAGGGAGGTTTGTCGAGTTTTTGGCTTACGTTTTCCTTGACCACTTATAAAACGTTGTTTTGGGACTGGAGAAATCTCCTCAATAGACACAGCGAGAGTAAAGGACGATGGATGTTCTTTAGTAGTAGCAGATGAATGATATTGAATTGAATAAGTTAAAAAAATTCTTACTCAGTGTTTGCTGATGGAATCTGACATGGATTATAGGCTTGTTGTTTGGTAGGTGCTGTTATTTCAGCTGTATTATTGTCGTTAGAAGTGACGGCACGGGATCTCCATACCTAATATTGAGGTTGTGTAGTTGCAGCAACCTGAAACATACCTATGTCACTATGTCCGTCACTATGTCGTTTTGTCCATATAACGTTATAAAAAAACAAAATTATAAAATAAATACAAAAATGATATTTTTAATGGAAAAAGTTATTTAAGTGCAACAACAATTTCTTGGGGATTGAAATAAATGCTACACAAATAGATAAAATAGTGAAAAACTTACCATCTATACAAAAAACTTGTTGCAACGAAAAAAACTCGTAACGTATCAACTCTTGTCGTCGGCCATGACACCCGGAAGAATAAGAGGAGTGCGTTCACGTTTCGACAGGTTAGTAAAAGCCGCTCGGATAACGTGGTATCGTGGTCAGTTGCGCGCTTGAGACCGCCAAATTAGAATTGTTGCCTATGTCATTTTGTACATATATGTCATTTTGTACGTATTTCCCCTACATAGAAAACATGTTGGGAAGCAGTGGTAAGTGCATGTAGTGTTTTCTAGTTCAAATCCTTGACTGTATGTCACACTTGATCCATGAACCTACTGCTTGGTGGCACTTTAAACACTCGATGTAGTCAGATACGTGCCACGTGCAATTTTAACACACCAATAGTAGTGTTTGTTGCATTATTGATTGATTGAATACACACAGCAGTGTTGTTGGCCATACTGGTAGGGCACGTATAGGAGAATGGTGCAGAGACACTGTTTGATGATTTTATGCCTGGACGAATCGTCAGACGACTGGAGTGCGGTCAGACCCAAATGGAAGTGTCGCATGCATTGAGTGTCCCCCAAAGTGTCATCTCAAGGGTCTGGCAACGATTTCAGAATGGTGAAAATATCACTTGGAGGTGTGGTAGAGGCCATCCAAGGTGTACCACTGGCCAAGAGGACCATTAATTACGCCTAACAGAGAGACGCAATCGACACAGAACCGCTATGGATCTCACTAGAGATCTTGCAGCTGCTACAGCGACCAACATTTCAAGGTTTATAATGGTTAGCTGAGGAACACCTGTATGCCAGAAGACCAGCAAGATATGTTCCATTAAACCAAGTGCAAAGAAGATCTCATTTGAATTGGTCCAGGGAACATCACACATGGACCCAGGAAAATATCTTGTTTACAGATGAATCCAATTTTGGTCTCAGCGGGATTCACGATGTGTCTTAATCTGGAGAGAACCTGGGACACGGTTCTGTCCAGAGAACATTACTGAACTGGATCAATACAGAGGTGGAGGAGTCATAGTGTGGGGTGACATCATCCTGGGGTCTCGCACTCCCCTGCATGTCATCCCACGGGGTTTGATCACAGGTGCGGTGTATTGGATGCCATTCTGGACCAATATGTTTATCTCTTTCGAGGTGCAGTGGGCAGTGAGTTCATTCTGATAAATGATAATGCTCGTCCCCATCAAGCAGGTGTAGTGGATGAGTACCTCGAAACAAAAGATATTAGACAATTTGATTGGCCCAGTCGCTCGCCCGACTTGAACCCAATAGAGCATGCATGGGACATACTTGGCAGGTGAATTGCATGTCGTCAAATAGCTCCAAGATCCATTCCCGAGCTCACGGAAGCACTGGTCCAAGAATGGGAAGCCATATCCCAGCCACTTCTTGATAACCTCATTCTCAGCATGCATTCGCATTGTGGTGCATGTCTTGCAGTGTGGGGTGATCACACACACTATTAATGTCCCTGTGCCGCACCTTGCTTCCTGGACTAACACATGGGTACGTTTTCTGATTTTCACACAATTCTCAATTGTCGTCCATGTTACCCACGCTGTACATTTTCTCCCACTGTTTGCAGTTTGAAACCATTTGCAATGCAACCTGCAATCCATATATGGGAAATTCTCTTTGTTTTTCCTGTCATAAATACCTTACACCACATTATCCTTAAGTTTTGCACATGAGTGTAGTTTACAAAAAGTCATGGGATTTTATTTCCCCCCAAAAAAATAGTAAAAAAATTTACCACCAACGGGAAATGGCGCTGTATGCAATATTGTTAAACGAAATAAGACATGAAGACTGGTTGAAAATGGAAATAAACAATTTGGCAGAATTAAAAAATGTGATACACCAACATATCAGTAACATAGTAATATTCCTCCTGATATGCTGAGCTATTGTCAAGAACACAGTAATGCGATTTAACTTGCTTTGAGAAAAGTGGTGAATGCCACATTCAACGCTTTGTAACACGTATTACAAACAATTAAAAACATTTTCAACCGCTGTCTTTATGTCTTATTTCGTTCAACATCATTGCATACAGCGCCATTTCTGGTGGTGAGGGTAGGATTATGTTGACTCTACTTTAAGCTGTATAGCGGATAGAAACGTTTTACGAAAAAGTTGGAATTGAAGTAATGACATCCTTGGAATAAATATGGTGAATTTAATATATGTACAGTATGTTTTGAAGTGGTTACAAAAATATTAATTTCAGGTGCTGCTTATCGCATTTTCAATTCACTACGTATAAACTGTCCAGTTATCTTAATCCCTAAGCTCTTACTGTAGCGTATGTTAGAGATAAACAAAGGATTCAGAACAACAAATTGACAGAGATTAGATCTGAGTTTTCCAGATGGACTTAAGATATTTTTCTCTTGGTCACTGTAAAGATGTTCACATTGTTACATGGTAAAACCTTAATGGAAATTGTTTTTTTTTTCATTTCATCTGTGATTTAGTCGATTTTCCTATGCTGTTGTATCTTCTATTCGAATTAAGTTGGAAAATTCTTTTGATTCTGATGAAACCGTGTTGTAGTTTACTTTGCTTTATACAGACACACTACGGTGACTTTTTTCAACACTTGGCCGATTATTCTTCTCTTTATTCAATTACCAATCAAGATTATTCTTGGCAGATTATTTATATCTTTATTCAATTACCAACGGAATAAAGAGATGAATAATCTTCCAAGTGTTGAAAAAAGTCACCGTAGTGTGTATGTATAAAGCAATTGGAAAATTTTGTTAACGTTTGGCTTTTACAAGCTCACCTGCGACAAAAGAAGGAGGAGTATTGCTAGGATAGAGATACTTGCAGCTTCCGTTGCGTCTCTACTTTCTTCTAATAAGACAGAATTTTAGAATAGAATATTTAGGAGCCCTGTACTCTTGAAAACCAAGAAAAAGTAATGTGATGATAGTATTAAAGTTGGCAACAACGTTCGTGTTAGTAATGAGAATGAAAAACCATTAATATGGCTTTTCGGTTGACTTTTTGCCTGGTGCAGATGAAATAAGCTCGTTGTGCTTGAATTAACCTATTCTTGTTGTCAATCTGTCAATGAACAATGTTGTATTATTAACCCTGTATCTGGACTGCTGTATGTTACTATGTATATAATTCGTCTTTGTAATCCAAAAATTTTTGGTAGACGGACTCACAGCAAAACTATTAGTTAGAAACTCACTTTTTAAAGAATAAAAGTGAGTTCCTAACTAATAGTTTTGCTGTGAGTCCGTCTACCAAAAATTTTCGGATTACAGAGACGAATTATATACATCGTATTATTAACTGTTAATTAACTATTATTAACTGACAAATTAACTGTTTTATAGCAGTTAATTTGTCCTATCGCATCGAATACTTCAATTTCTGCATTTTGTCAAGTTCTTAACGATATAAAATTTCCTTGATACAGTATCAGAATAAAACCGTTTCTACATTTATTTAATTTAAACAGTTCTATAAAAATTTTTCTAATTTGCATTTCACATAATTTCCCTTACGCAAAAGATCTTCAACTAACGTTAATTGAAAAGTGCTTTCTTTTTAAAAATAACAGCGAAATAATTTTATACATGCGACAGCAATTGTCAAATGCAACACATGCAACATGGTCACATGTTGCACGTGTGACCATGGTTTGCACATCAGGATGCCTGATTATTAAGAATGCCCGATAATTAATAAAATATAAGCCTAAAGCCTGTCGAGAAGCTATAACGTGATGGCTTGTTGTCGTTTAGTACTGATCCTTTTATGAGGATGGGAGAAAACAATATTCCGCACTAACAACAATACTGTACCAAGAAATAAAATCTGAGTAAACAGTAAAATAGTATATGCGTGACATAACTAACGTTTTTATGGAAACAGAAGCACATAGGCTTTTACAATGGGTGTATGAGTGAGATGCTAATTTCTTAAAATCTGAAGAAGGTTTAATATATTTAAAATTTTTTAGTATATTATAGAATCCATTTTGTTACAAGGGCGTAATATAGTTAAGACTTTATACATCACTCGTGGTTTCTTAAGGATTGGTAAATTGTGATTGCTTCAAAATATTATAAAGTTCAAATGTAATATATTCTTAACTTGTAGCAATTTTCTGTGTATTTTAGAGAATGGAATAAGGAATTACTGAAGAGAAATCCAAGCACAGTAAAAGCAATGCTACGATTCATTGGGTGGAAATACTTAATTGTAATTCTACTTGTATTTATTCAGGTACTGTGCCTACGAATTGAAATTATTTTTGCCATTAAAGATGATTTATAATATTCTAATTATGTATTTTAGGAAACTGTCATAGTTACAAGCAAAGCATACATTTTAGGATTAATAATATATTATTTTGACAACAAATCGGAGGGGAATGAACCAAAAGTTTATTTATTAGCCGCAGGATTTTGTGGACTAACAGCGATTTATTTGTTGACATTTAATACTAATTACTTTATATCAGAAGTATTAGGCATGAAGTTAAAGGTAGCTTTATGCACTGTCATATACAATAAGGCAAGTATTAAATATATTATTAGAAACATATTGCAGTTTTTTCCTGTTTGTTTAATTAACTTATGTCATTTTATGCGTTCAATTTGTTTTTAAACTTCTTTTAGTCTTATACATAAAAATAGTTAATTTTTTAGTTTTCTCGCTTTATTTACTTTCTTTTCACATTATATATATACTGTTTTAATGGAAGGAGACTTGCATTGCTTTAAAGGTTTGTGATTTTTCATCGATTTTATACGTTTTGGGGTCACAACGTTACCTTTTGTGTTGTGTACTATTTAAGTAGATTGTATGTTTTTAGTTAAAGTAAAACTAGAAATAACTATTAATTAACGAAGTTAGAGTTCGGTGTGAATTTCGGTAGTAATTAAATTAAGATGTATGATATGGGTTGAGAATGTAAAAAATTTAAATGTTATGGATCACTACGCTAAATGAAACAGTAGTTGAAAAGTATAATAATTGAAAATGTACAGTATATTATAGACGATCCGTGTTTTTATATAATCTATATATATAATCGAGACAGGCTGATAATAATAATAATAATAAGCGCAGAGCCCAAACGGTTAGACGTTGAAAGTTGAATTTTGGTACATACCGTGTTTCCCCGAAAATAAGACAGTATCTTATATTAATTTTTGCTCTGAAAAGTGCGCTAGGTCTTATTTTCAGGGAATGTCTTATTTTTTCCAGGAAGAAGAATTCACATTTATTATTGAACAAAAAAATTCCCAAGTCGAACTTAGACGAGAGTGACGTATATCCGATGTGTCGAACTGTCGCCTTTTTATAGCGTCAACATCGGACTCGATGACCAATTAGTGCTTACTGAACCGTAGCACTATACAAATGTCATGTGGCGTGATTCCCGGCTGACCAATTAGCCATCACCAGCCGTAACGTTATGCAAATCTGTGATTCCCAAGCCATAGTCTTATGCAAATCATGCCGTGTGGCGTAATTGTCTGCTGACCAATCAGTGGCTGTACTTTCAAAAAGCCAACGGCCACTTTAAACCGTCTGTCGATGACCGTTACGACTAAAAATAAACTTCGCTAGGTCTTACTTTCAGAGGGAGGTCTTATATTTCGCAATTCAGCAAAATCAGTGCTAGGTCTTATTTTCTGCGGATGTCTTATTTTCGGGGAAACACGGTAGTTAGTGCACGTCACGAGAACGCACACTAAAAAGGGATTTTTCGAAATTCACCCCCGGGAGGGAGAAAGAGAGGATTAATGTTCAATAATGGAAATTTTCAGTAACAATGGAAATGTTTAGAATGGATGTGACAATAATGGAAGTGTTAAGAAAACGCGACGTGCAAGATTTACAGGCGCGGATCAAGTTTTTTTGCGTTTCGCGACAAATACAACATATTTTCAGACCCATCTAAAATTTCTCTAATTAGTCTGGAAGCAGGTAGACCTAATTCTTGCATACTGTGAAAACGGGTAAGATTGGCTATAATGTGATAACCTTAATGTTCGCTATTGTTACTTTTTGCCCAAGCAACGCCGAGCTTATCTGCTAGTAAAATATAATGTTAAAACAAAATGTCTAAACATCAGTTGTTGTATATAGTATAATTGTATATTTTAAATAAGATAATTACTTATAATAAATATATAATATACGATACGACGCATTCAAAAAGAATAAAAACCCGTGTCCTTGCTTTTCCTCCTGTCGTTGTACACCATCAATTATCTATTAAAAATTACTAAAAGTACAAAGAAGTCTTCCTTTTTAGGCTACTGCCTTCGGAAAAAAATATCTTTTGCGAAAGCATCGTATTTTATATTTATTAAATGTTAAATAACGTCGGCCATGATTTATTTTACTATTTTTACTATAAAGATAATTACTATTTTACAATTATGAACATAGTACCTTTATAATAATCTGGTTTTTTTCTTGATAAAAATATACTGGCTGATATGTTGGTCAAGGTGGAAGTTGATACGTTAATTGACTTGTTACGTGGAAGTTAAATTTTAAGGGAGCTCTGGAACAAGGTTAAAGTAGTGTCAGAAATGACGGACTGGCGACAAAAATAGCGCAAAAAAATTTTATATCAAAATTTCTTTTTAATAAAGAGCTTTCGTCAACTGATCAAGATGAGTTTAGGTCGAAATTTTAGTCAAAGAATGTGAAAAACTTTTCGAAAGGAAGTAAACTGGTGGGAAAGAAAACTAAACGTCCTTTTTCCCTTAATTTCCCTCAAAAGTTAAAAAAAAATGTACAAGTTAGTGACTAAATATTATCTTGAGTTTTATAACTTTATGAAATAAATGAAGTTAATCTTCAGATTTTCATATTAATAGTAAGTAGATTTTATACGTGTTTTTGTCAATTTAACTCGTCGGTTATCTCAGTTTGAACTAATTTCGATGACGATGGAGGAAATGTGATGTGTGGGTTATATGACAATTATAATCATAGTCCCTTTTTTCAGTAAAGCAACTGTTGATCTTATACATATAGTACATGCCATATAGGTAATGTAAATACAGTAGAGCGTCGTTTATCCGAATCAATTGGGGACGGGTTGTTCGTATAACTTATTTTTCGGATAACCGATTATGTACGAAAAAATACATTAACCTACCCAGTGTTGAAATTTTTTCTCTTGCGTGTCGCTTCGCGTTGAATTTTCGTCGATGTTAAGCCTAATGTAAATTTTTTAAAATAATAATCGTGGCTATTGTATCGTTAAAAATTATTTTTTTATTTTGTACAAACGAAATAAATATATTGAAATATATAAAAACAAAAAAAAATTATACTTTAGAAGTTATCTAGTATCAAAAACGTTCAATTCAGCATGACATACAGTCCTCAGAAAAACACCACACAAAAGTGCCAGTGCTGCAGCTAAAACATACACAAATATAAAAAATATTGGAGTAGCCCAAAATATAGCCAAAGATTGCAGCGCCACAGCACTAGCAAACATTTGAATTTGCTACTGGAATTCTTTCGGATAACAGACGTTTCGAATAACCGACTTTCGGATAAACGACGCTCTTCTGTATTTTATTTCTGTTTTAAATAATATTTTATGGGGTATACATTGACACGTATTATTCGCAGGAAAATGAAGTTATCGTATTAAAAAATTAGAATTTATATTAATTGTTTGAAAAATAACAATATTTAGAATTATATTTNCTTGAGTTTTATAAATTTATAAAATAAATGAAATTAATATTCAGGTTTTCACATTAATAGTAAGTAGAATTTATACGTGTTTTTGCCAATTTAACTCGTGATTATCTCAGTTTGAACTAGCTTCGATAATGATGGAAGTAGTGTGATGTGCGGGTTATATGCCAATTATAATCATAATCCCTGTTTCCAGTAAAGCAATGGTTGATCATATAGTACATAACATATGGGTAATGTAAATATTTCATTTCTGTTTTAAATAATATTTTCTGGGGTATACATTGACACGCGTTATTTGCAGGAAAATGAAGTTATCGTATTAAAAATATTAGAGTTTATATTAATTGTTTGATAAATAACAATGTTTGGAATTATATTTCGTATTTATTTTAATTTGAAGTATTTATATCCAGGCAATTAATTTAAGTTCTTCATCTCTGGGAAAATCGAATATAGGACAAATTGTAAATCTTCTAGCAAATGATGTCAACAAATTTTATAGCGTAAGTTTATATGACTATTTTTTAAATATTATTTTTATTGTGTTAATTAATATCTTCTTGCCAGAAAAATTTATTAACAAACTATAACAAACTATTCTTGTATTTTTCACGACACACTTCTAATTTTTCGAATAAACATAAATTATATACTCTGTTATCTTTCACTTTATATGTATTAAATGTTTATATTTTATTCACAGAATATCTTTACCATCCCATATTTAATCACAAATCCTTTTCTACTAATTATTGCTGTATTGATGCTATGGCAATACTGCAGATGGGCCCCTGTAGTTGGACTTTCGGTAATTTATCTGTACGTTCCGTTACAAATTGTGTTGGGCAAACTATACTCAAAATTGAGGTAATTATTGTTTTAAGTTACATAATTATGACATACATCTGAAATGAATAAAGGTATACAGGTACCCCCGTATAACACGGTAGTTACGTTCCAAAAAATTGCCGTGTTATGCGAATCCGTGTTATACGAAACAAAGAACTGGTACGAAAAGGAGGGTTAGTTTTCAAAAATTAAAAAAAACATGCTATTATATTTTCATAATTAACGTAAATATCTTTATTAAAATTTTCTTAAGTGATACATATTAATATAAATTAAACAATGTTTTCTTCGTTATCACTAAAAGCACTATTAACCGAGAGCGTTTTCTTTTTGGCAAGTTATCCTTATCCTCTGAGCATTTTTCTGCATTATTTTCAGATCCACGCTTCACCTTTTGCAAAATGTATGTAATTTTAAATCGCTTGTTTCTAGTTAAAAGATCTTTATAAATTTTTTCATATGGTGCTAAGCACTTATAAAGAATAAAGCAAGTATGGAATGAAGGAAAAACATCTGGCAACATCAGAAGCAGAAGCGTCGAGATCTGGCAACATTGAAACAAATTTCGAAAAGGACCATGTGTATCGATAGAAAGAGAGAAAAGAAAATTTACATACTTAAGTAATAATAGTTCACGAAAATGATAATCTTCGTGAACTATTATTACTTAAGTATGTAAAAATTTATTAGATTTTATGTTGTACGAGGGTTTTACCCAATTCTCGAACCATGTCAGAGAGAATCTGTGCTATAGAAGTGCCGTGTTATACGGGGGTTACCTGTAGTGTGTTTACTTCTCTGTAACTCAGTTATATTAGCAGAATTTTATTTACTTAATTAAATTTTTTTCTTCTTAATCAATCAAGTCAGTTTAGAACTTCAAAATATTCAAAGATATTTTATAAAACTGCATCACTTAATTAATGTGACAGCTCTCGCATTTTCAGATTGGTTATATTTGAAAAATGCATTTCAGCGCAGAAAGTAGCTTGAAGTGTTAGTCTCAAAAATCAATTTTCTTCATTATAAACCTAGTGTGAAGAAATTGCTGGGCTAAATTCATACTTAATGACTATAAAATAATTATTCCAAGTAGGATATAAATACTATCAGCCTAGAATTTTTTTCTGTTTTGGAGAGAACTGAAAATGCAATAGTCGCAAACAATTGATTTGCCATACGTCCAAAAGTAAAGGGGAAGAATCATTTTTTATGAGTAGAAATTTATTATAAATTGCGGTTGCTATCAATCGAAGAACTCCATCTTTATTATATAAGGTATAAAATTTAGCATAATAAGTTAAAAGTATTTGGTCTAATGTTTCTTATGAAGCAGTTTGCTTGCTCTTACTCCATGGTAAAATGGTAAGTACTGCAAACTTCTTCGAGAAGGTTAGGTTATTATTTATCTGAATCTTTACATTCACATAGCAAGAAAACATTTATACAGATCCTTACTAAATATTGGTAACAAAATGAACAGGACTATTACATATAAGAATCTCCACATATGTTAGTTATATTACAAAAGGTATCACAGGTGTCTAATTTGAAAAAGTGCCAGTAAATTTTATCAGAATTTTATGATTTCAATTTTACATCATTATGAGAAAATTCAGAAATAATGGGAAGGATTTACAACATATAGCATGGTTACAAAAATTTATTAATTTTTTATTGTTAATTAATAATGTTTTATAATATCAATATCTGTAATTATTTGTAAAGGTAACTGTACTGTTTATTATTATCTAGAAATATATTTTTTTAAACTTAAATTTCTGCATCTAAACTTTTTTTTAAACTGCTCTTCACAGGGAAAAAATAACTAATACCTAAAATTTAACTGTTTCCACTTCTTGTAAAATTAACTAAGGTAACATAGTGCTATAATAATTTTCAGCAATAAATTCACTTAGAAATTTGAATAGATGATAATAAATTACGTAGTTTTAGTAATTACTTCATAAATATTTTTTATATTCACTTTATGCAATAAACTTTAAACGTGTCAACTTCATAATTTAAAATGTCAGTAAAATTTTTACTAGAATTTTGTTAATTTACTTTACGTAATTTTAAAAACGAATGTCTTTTTAAATAAATTGCGTATTGACAGATTGCAGGCAGCTGTATTGGGAGACGAAAGGTTGAATCTGTTGAACGAGGTAATTGCTGGCATGAGATTAGTTAAAATGTACACTTGGGAGTTGCCATTCGCTTCGTTAATAGAAAAAATCAGAAAGTAAGTATAATCATACTATTTTTGTTTTCTTTTCATATTAAAGACCTCTTTCCCTGAAAATTCTGCTTTAAAATCTGAATTTGTTTTTAATTGTAAAAGAAATCACAGATGAATAGCAATATTACATGTCCATATCTTGACAGTATATATGGCTTATGAATATTTAGCTCGTTCGATGGTTGTAGAAATTTAA